TATAAATATATATATTTATATATGTATATATGAATCAGAAAATGAATGTCTTGATTGTGGCCGAGCGGCACTCAGTTTCTACTTGTTCTTCAACCTTGTTCGAAAAAAAATTGACTTTTGCAGAAAACCAAAGTACATGGATGGAATATGGAAGACTTCGCTTTCAATGTGTAACTTCGATTTGGCTTATGGATCCGAGTTTGGATCTTCATTCTCTTGTTTTTTGGTCATCTAAAGGGGCCTAACAAATTATCAAATACTTCCTATTTCACCTCTGAGACCGAAGCCACTTATACAGTGACAAGGCCAGATGTGAAATCCTAATAGATGAATTTAGGAAATTGAGAATTCCAGGGACTGGAATCAAGAAATGCAGAAACACAAAGAAGAGGGAAAAGAAGCAGATAAGCAGAGAAGAGAAGAAATAGCTCTGGATAATTTCTATGCAGCAGTCACGCGAATATAAGATCCCTACTCCTATTTATAGCAGGTGAACCGGTGGGGAAAATAAATTACATGAGCTAGGACAAATAGCAATACAACTTATTTACATTTATGTAACTACCCACATAATATATATTCGTTAATACCGCCCCGCAAGTAGATAGTTCACGTGTATAATCTTGTTGTAGAGAAAATTGAATCTGCTGGAGGTGAGGGCTTTGGAGAAAATATCAGCCAGTTGATCAGTAGTGGCTATATGATGAAGGGTAATATGTATGTTAAGGATGCAGTCCCGAATGAAATAGGCAACTATTTTAATATGTTTGGTTCTGACGTAGAAGATAAGGTTATTAGCAAGAGCTAGAGCTGAAATGTTGTCACAATAAAGTGGAGTTGGCCATGTAAGAGAGATTTGGAAGTTTTGAAGTAATCTTTGTAACCAAATAATATCGTCAACCGCGGTGGAGAGAGCTGGATATTCGACTTCGGTCGAGGATCTTGCCACGGTTGTTTACTTCTTGGTGCACTAGGAGATGAGTGTGGTCCCGAGAAATACACAATACCCAATAATAGATTTGAGATCATTTGGGTCATCGGCCCAATCGGTGTCGGAGATTGCGTGGAGAGTAAAGTCACCTCGGTGGATTGGAAGAACGTTGTTGATAGTGCCTTTGATGTATAGTACAAACGATTAAGTTGGTCAAAGCATTTAATTGATGAAGATGTTGACACAATTTGTTGACGGTTTGAATGTGAGAACCGGTCTTGTTAATGTAAGCTATTGGAGAGAGCGAACTAAGTGCCTGTAGAGGTGAGGACAGTCATATGCATGGTCATCAGTGGGGGAAGAGATTGCCTTGGTATACATAGGGGTTTTGATGGATTTGCAATTCATCATGTCGGCTTTCGTGAGGATGCAGAGAAAGGTACTTGGCTTGCCAAGTTTCTTGACTTGAAAGTGTTGATGTAATTGACTGATGATGTGAGTGTGGAAAGTTGAATCCCTGCCTCTAATTAGGACATCGTCAATGTATATTAAAATGTATGTTTCGGGATTGGATGTCGTGGACACCATAAGAGAAGGATCGGCATTGCTAATTTTGAAGCCAAATGAGGTGGACATGAGAGTGAAGTGTCATTGTCTCGGAGATTGTTTAAGACCATATATGGCTTTCTTTAGGAGGCAAACATGGTTTAGTTTAGTGGAGTCTTCAAATCCCTTAAGTTGAGAAGTAAATACTATCTCATGGAGTGGGCCATATAGGAAGCCGTTGGAGATGTCAAGTTGGATGATTTCCCACTGATTAGAAGTAGCCACTGTGAGAAGAGTGTGGATGGTGGAAAATTTCGTGATGGGACTAAAGATTTGATGGTTGATTCCATGTTTTTTTTCATAGCCTTGCAACACTAGTCTTGCAACCAAGATTCTGTTTTGTACCATCAGGATTCTGCTTTGTTTTATACATCCATTTGCAACCAAGGACATTTTGAGATGGTGACAGAGGAACGAGAATCCATGTGCCTTGGGAGAGAAGAGGTTGAAATTTCTCTGACATGGCTTCGCACCGATGACTATGTTTGCAAGTTATGCTATAGGAGGTTGGATCTTTGGATTTATCGGTGAGAGTGTGATGAAGATCTAAGATGACTTTGGGTTTGAGATTACCAGTTTTGACCTAGTAAGTAATCAGGGTATGAACCGCGGGGGGACACAGGATGATTAGGAGAGGGAGCTGAGCCGTGTAGATGTGGGAAACAGTGTCCTGAACAGTGGATGAAATGATGGGCGGATATTTGGAGTAGCATGCACTGGTTCATTGGTTTGGAAGGGTTGGATAGAATGGGAACCAAGGTAAGAGGGGGATGTTAGATAGGAGACGCAAGTGGTCGGGCGGAGGTTGAGGTAGAAAAATATGGAAAAGTGGTTTCATAGAATTTAATGTGCCTTGATGTGTAGGTTTTATTGGTGATAGGGTCATAGCATTTGTATCCTTTGTAGAGGAGAGAATACCCAATAAAATGCACTGGTTAGATCTAGGTGAGAATTTGTTGGTGGAAGCAGAGACACCCTATAGTCTTAAGATGTGTATGTTGAGGTGGTGTTTGTTATGATAGTTGTAATAGTGAGAGATTATTAGTGTTGGAAGAGGGAAGTATGTCGCTTATTTAGGCATCCGTTTGAACAAGTTCGGCCCAAAAATTGGAAGATAAATTGGTTGTTTTCATGAGAACCCGAGACATCTCCAATATATGTCGATGTTTGCATTTAACAACTCAATTTTGGTTATGAATATACGGGCGGCTGCACTGATGAATAATTCCTTGAGTATTTAAATAGGTGATGAGATCATGATTTATACATTCACCACCCCTGTTAGTCCTCAGAATTTTTAGGGGTGATTGAAACTGCTTTTTCACCATGATCTTGAAGTTGATGAAGACATTAGTAACATCAGTTTTTTGTGTCAAGAGTATAATCAGTGTCAAAGTTTTGAGAAAAATAGACTGAATTCTGAATAGGCTTGATGCCTTTTCCCTTTGCTTTTATTCCATTAGATAATAATCTTACAATCTATTTTAGGTACAAAATATTCTGTTTAATCTATTTTAGGTAACTTAATAATACATATTCCTAATCTAAATATTCAGCTAAAAGAGAAATAAATCAGAATAAAGATATAGGAAATAATTTAAATAAGGAAGCTCCTAATTATAGAAACTCCTAATTTAGCTGCCTGATTTTCGTCCTTTCTGATTGACATCCCCTCTCAAATTGATGTTGACTGATCATGAAGCATCAATTTGCCAACAAGAAAATTTGTCGGGACCAACAATCCTCAAGCCATGAGTGCTGAAGGAGAAAGTTCTGAAACTGAGAATGCCGAAGCCTTAGAGACAACTCCTGAACCATAACAAGATTTGAGCAAAGAACAGCAAGAAATCCTTTATCATCATCGTCTATAAATTCGCATCATAGCCACAAGAATGTCCGCTTCCAGTTACATGATCCAAATGCTACCAATCATAGCCCACAAATAGCATCCAGTTACACAATCCATATGCCATCGATCATAGCCTACAAATAGGAGTAGGATCCGCGTCCTGCGTCCTGATCCAAATGCCACCGATCATAGCCCACAAATAGGATCCAGTTACAAGATCCAGATGCTATCGATTATAGCCTACAAGTAAGATCTGTGTCCTGATCCAAATGCTACTGATCATAGACCACAAGTAGGATTCTCGTCCTGTTAAACAATCCAAATGGTATTGATTATTCCTGCGACGACGAGGACAATTTATTCCCTGATTTTCACGCAAAAACTGTGGAAGCAGAGATGCTGAAGCCGTGAGTGTCGAAGCCATGAGTGTCGAAGTCGAGATTGTCGAAGCTTAAGATCTAGGGTTTGATTTTTTTGTTCTAGCTGTCGAGTTCCGTGTCGGCGACTTCCTTCTTTGGTGATTTGGGTGTAGTGTTTTCTTCTTTGGAGATGGCAGTGGACATAGGCCGAGCATCTACAAGCAAGGTCCGCTGGGGAGAACTCGACGATGGCGCCGAAAACATGGATTTCTTTCTTCCACCGAGGATGATAATTGGACCTGATGAGAACGGCGAGAAGAAGGTAATTGAGTACAATTTCAACGATGATGGAAATAAGGTTAAGATCATAACCACGACACGCACCTGCAAGCTTGCTCGCGCTAGGCTTTGCAAGCGTGCTCTGGAGCATCGGGCATGGCAAAGTTCGGTGATGTTGCACACGAGGATGTCAGTAGCCGACTTACTATGGTCTCTATGGAAGAAATAATTCCTCCCTTCTCATCTCACAAGCAGGCCGGCGAGAAGGGAGTTTTGACAGTCCTCCAACGACTATTGGTGGTTAGGGCAAAAATTTGGCTCTGATACCATATCAAAGTTTCGAGAAAAATAAGTTGAATTCTGAATAGGCTCGATCCTTTTCCCTTTGCTTTCATTTCATTAATAATCTTACAATCTATTTTAGGTACAAAATAAAGTGCAAAATCTATTTTAAGTAACTTAATAATACATATTCCTAATATAAATATTCAACTAATAGAGAAATAAATCATAATAAAGATAATGAAAATAATTTAAATAAGGAAACTCCTAATTATACAAAACTCCTAATTTAGCTGTCTGATTTCCATCCTTCCTGATTGACATCGTCCCTCAAATTGATGCTGACTTATCAAGAAGCATCAATTTGTCAACAAGAAACTGATAACATTGTCGGGACAAAAAATCCTCAAGTCGTGAGTGCCAAAGCTGAAAATGTCAAAGTCTGAGAGTGCCGAAGCCTAAAAGTGTCAAAGCCTAAGAGTGTCAAAGCCTGAGAGTGTCGAAGCCGAGACTGTCAAAGCCATGAGTGTTGAAGTCATGAATGCAGAAGCCTAAGATCTATGGTTTACCGAAGCCAAAGAGATCGATCTAGGAAGGAGTGCCAAAGTGAATGAAACGAAGCGTAAGAAGCAGTCGAAGATGTCACAGAACCAGCGATGCCAAGCGAAGAAGATCCAAATCGGGCGAATAATAATACAAACATAACAACCATTTTCAACCCAAGAATTCTTGTATTCCATAATAAATGGATTTTGCACTTCATAATAAGTTCCATCTCTTGGCGAGCAAACCTGCGACATCTATCTGTCTGTCAATCAAGTTTGATATTCTTCAAGACAGACTTCTTCTTTTCCACCTTATTCTTCACGAGAAGAGCAGAGAACAACAAGAAGAAGAAACTAGACCAGCGTAGTAACTAGAGGTGGCAAAGAGCTTAAAAGGAAAGCATGATTGGAGATCCCCTCATGGCATTGTTGAGCTCCTTGCAATTCCATAAGATGAGTCTGCCTCTTGTGAATATCAACAGCTACTCAAACATATTCGGTACCTTCCTCAATGATTTCGGGTAGGAGAGGACTAGAGCTCTAAGGCCAGTGCGATGGAGGAGAGTCACAGCTAGGGCAGAGACGACGGTTGCCGGGGAGAGTCGTAGCTAGGGCAGAGACGCAGGGAGGAGAGGAGATTGCGGCTATGTTCCTTGACGAGGAGATCGTGGGTTGACGAGGAGAGTCACAGCTAGGGCAGAGATAACGCGACGAAGTGGCAAAGTGCCGCAGCTAAGACAGAGGCGACACGAAGTTTTACGCAAACGAAGCAAAAGCAGACACAGAAGAAAAAAGTTGTCAAATTTGTCGCGAACAAAGCAGAAGCAGACGAAGATGAATGCAGACGAACGTAGCAGAAGCAGAAACAAACGCGAAGTTGCGTAGGAAAACGAGTAGATGCAAACGAAGATGTCGAAGGTGCCGCAAACGAAGATGTCGCGATGTGAAGATCACAGCTAGGGCTACTGCTAAAGAATACCAAGGATTCACACCGATTCTAGCTCTGATACCATGTCAAAGTTTTTAGAAAAAAAGACTGAATTCTGAATAAGCTTGATGCATTTTCCCTTTGCTTTCATTTCATTAAATCATAATCTTATAATCTATTTTAGGTAAAAAATATTCTGTATAATCTATTTTAGGTAACTTAATAATACATATTCCTAATCAAAATATTTAGCTAAAAGGGAAATAAATCAGAATAAAACAAGAGAGGAAAATCAGGAGCAATTTGAATAAAGAAACTCTTAATTCGGCCTTAGCTGCCTGGTTTTCATCCTTCCTGGTTGACAATCAACAGTAAAAAGAATAATCATCAACAAATATACTGTGGTATCAATAAACATGAGGAGAAGAAATTGAGGAAGACCCCATACATCATAATGGACTACGGGAAGGGGTTTAGTACTATAATTAGGTGACTTGAGAAATTGTAGTTTACAAATTTTAGTGGTATTATAAGGGATGCAAGGGAAATGTTGGAGTTTGATCTTCAAATCTAAAAGGACTCGAGCAAGTTCTCAAAGAAAAGATGTATGGGATGACTAAACCTCTCATGCCACGGCGGGTTAAAGATGGGGATAGCTGCTAAGGCTGCATCTATCTGAAGTGTTGGTCCTTTTGGACATGAGAAAGGGTAGGGTACATTGTGAGAGGGACCACTGAGGAGGATTTTGTTGGTTCGTATGTCCCTAACATGATTGCCAAATGGGACCACTGAGGAGGATTTTGTTGGTTCGTATGTCCCTAACATGATTGCCAAATCGATCAAAGTGCAAGAAACAACCGTTATCAACGACCAATTTATGGACATTAAGAAGATTGAAAGGGAGATTGGGCACATGACAAAGGGGATTTAACTTCAGCTACATGTAGGAGTAGGTAGGATGCCTTATCCGACATGTGTTATTGGACGCAATTGACCGTTACCGATGGTTATCTGCTGGTGCCCATTGTACAAAATGCTTTGATGAATATATTGAGGATTTGAAGATAAATGAGATGTAGCTTCGGTATCTAAGATCCATTCAGTGCCTTGAGCAGTCGAGCTAGCAACTAAAGCTGTATTTGATGACTGGTTGGCTTTATAGGAGCGATTCCTCTAGTTGCAACATTTGAGAATTGAATGGCCATGTTTGGTGCAGATTTGGCATATAAGTGTTCTGTTATTTTTAGGATTTTGATTGGTTGAAACATTGGGATTGGACAAGGGGTATCTTCTCTAAGAATTGTAGTAGTGACCATGACTTTTGCCTCGGTTGGAGTAGAGGGCAGTGTCGGATGGAGGCTGAGCTGATAACTGCAATTCCTTTTGGAATTCGACAGCAAGATTTGTTTCCTCTCTGCATAGCAGTGAGTAGATATCGTCAAGCCCGATCGGTTGAGGCTTGTGCAGATGGCGATTTTGAATGCTTGGTAGGTGGAGGGAAGACTGTTTAAGGTGTAATGAATAACGTTTTCTTTGTCCAAGGCTGACCCAACAGCGGTAATAGCATCAACTTTGGCTTTAATATTGGACAAGTAATTGTATAATTGATTGATTTTTCATGGACCAATATCTATATTGTCATTGTCGGGTCCTAAGCCTCGGTTGTGAAAAAGTGGAGGGTTGAGTTGGGTAGTCAACATCCTGCATAAAATTTGTCGAAAAATCATGACATTAATCTTTTTTATTATTATGTAAATGTTAGGTGTCCTGGAAGCGATGCGTTGTATGGCTTGAATATATTGAAAGTGTGCAAGGCCGGCAACACCGGAGCTCTGATGAAGTGTTAATTAAGCAAGTGTACCCACATTATAGATGAATGTGGGTAAAGAAGTTAATCCATGAAACTAATATTAGAATTATTTTACGTTTACTGGTAAATTAATAGAATTAGTTAATATTATGATTCATAGAGAGATATATATCTTATGAATTCAAGAAACTAAATGGGTCAGAAAAAAGGCTAAGGAGATTGATAACTTAGGTTTCAAACTTTTATATTGAAGTGTGAGTCACATTAGAAATGGTGTAGATGTAATAATAGATAAGAGTTTGAAAGATAATGTTGTAAAAAATAATAGAATTGGAGATAGAATTATAGCTCTTAAGATTATTATTGATACTAATATTTCTAATATTATAAGTGTTTATGCTTCTCAAATAGGTTTAGATATATGTTCTAAAGATAAATTCTGGAATGACTTAGAAGACTTAATACAAATGATACCTCTTGAAGAAATAATTTTTATTAGAGTAGATTTAAATGGACATGTCGGTAGAGTAGTAGAAGATTTAAAAAAAATAATGGTCGCTACGCTTTTGGAGTGATTAATGAAGAAGGTAGAGCCATATTAGATTTTGTTTTAGAATATAATTTTGTTATTGTTAATACTATATTAAAAAAAAGAGAAGAGCGTATTATTACTTATAAGAATGGATCTAATAAAACATAAATTTATTTTTCTCTTATGAGAAGAAGAAATCATCGAGAATGTAAAGATTGCATGGTCATTTCAAGTGAAGATACAAGTACTAAACATCGATTATTAATTTTAAATTTTAAGATGAAGAGTTGTAAAATAAAGAATACTAGGAATCATCGTCGTAGAATTGGATGAGAGTACCTAAGAAAAGACAAATAAAATTATTTTTATGAGTAAAATTCAAAATCTCAAGTTTGGGATGTTCATGAAGAAGCAAATTTTATGTGGGATAAATAACAAAGAATATTAATAAATAAGTGGCAAAAGAGGTACTTGAAGAATCAAAAGAAAAAAATTCTATAAATAAAAAAATAACTGATAGTGAAATAATAATATGCAAGAAAAGATAAAATATAAGAAGTTATGTTATAAAAATTGGTTTAAATGTAAAAGCTTAGAGAACACGAAAAAATATCACATAACCCATAGAGAGTCTAAGAGAACAATCTGTGACGCTAAAAAATTATTAGTGATCTTTATAATAGATTAGATACTAAGAAGAGTGAAAAATATATGTATAAACTAGTCAAACAAAAAGAAAAGAAAAGAAAAGTAAAGATTTTAACTCAAGTAAAGTGTATTAAAGATGAAAATCAGAAAGTATTTTTCTTAGAAAAAGATATTCAACAAAGGTGGGTGAGTTATTTTGATAAATTTTTTAATGAAGTTTTTGAAAATACAATCGATCTTAGACATCTTAATATCATTAATAATAATAAATTTTTTTTACCGTTATATTAGTAAAAAAGGAGTTGAGGAGGCTTTAAGAAAAACAAAGAGTGGAAAGTCTGTAGGACCTGATGATATCCCAATTGAAGTGTGAAAATATATAGAGGATTTGAGAGTTTCTTGGCTTACTAAAATCATTAATATTATTTTAAAAACTAAAAAGATGCCCAAGGAGTGGAGGAGGAGTTTTTTGGTCCCAATTTTTAAAAATAAAAGGGATGCTAAGAGTATGCAAATTATAGAGAAATTAAGTTGATGTGTCATACTTTAAAATTATTGGAGAGAGTAATTGAACATAGG